AGTTAAAAACCATTTTAAAAAGTTAAAATAATCTTCAGAGTTATTTGGTTTTATTAGGTAGAATTTGTTGAATATTTATTTTTAAATGCATAATCTAGTATTAAAAATTGGCTGCATTCTAGTAAGCTTGTTTCCTGATGTCTGTTTAATTTTTTCTGTCTTATGCTAGAACAAAAGTAGTACAGAAGAGCCTCATGTCATTAATTAAAATGTCAAGGGCTTTCTGAAACAGTGAAGATTTAGGCTTTTTTCATCATAGCTAAATCATTAGAGTTTACTGCTTAAATGTCTAATCTAAATCATTAAATAACTCACTTTGAAACCTTGTGCATATTATTTCAAAGATTTTACTGTCTTCAGTACAGACTCATGGAGATGTAGGGCCCATATTTCTCAAAAAAATCTTGTTTTTATTCTGTATATACAGTACCCTGTTAAAGCTACCTAAACTGTTTCTTCTAATAAACTAGATTAAAACCTAGCCCATTGTATTATGATATTTCTGACAGAAACATTTTTCTTAATTCTTTTTATTCTCCCTTGGATTAAAATTTATCAGAAAATGGATTTTCATCCACAAATCATGTAGGTATTACTAAAATTGTTCTAAATTTGGAGAAAACTTCAAAATTCTGCATTTTTGAAAGCTTTCTGTTGTATCTTGAATCACTGTTTTTCACTAGAAGGATTTTTTTTTAAAGGTAATTTATTTTACAGTACAAAAGAAAAAAAAGTTTTTAATAAAAAAATCTGTGTACAGAAGAGAAGGAGGCCATTGACAGACTGTACAGAGGCAGATTGATTTATATAAGATTTATACACTTCTATACATCAAGGGAGCTTTATTAAAATTTGTATTGGCTTTAGTAATTTAGATATTCTTGGTTATATCCCCTGATGTTATATTCATGAACTGAGATATAGACTAGAAATCCTTCTTAAGATAGTCAGATAGTGTACATTCTATACAGTAACAAAGATAGATGCAGATTTCTATTTCAATGCCAATTTAGCCTCCGCAGGAGTTTTGGAGGAAGTTAAACATATTTCACAGCACCTCACTTTACTGCATTCTGCAAAATCTGTAATTAGAGGATTCAAACAGTGTTCTAGAGAAAATATTTTTTTTCCTCAGAGATCCTCCAAGGACATCACAGAGATTTTAATTTTTTATTTTTTTACCTCTTTTAATATCACAAATACCAGCAAGATGGCAAAGAACAGCCAGTACACTTCAGTCAAAGGAGGGGGATGCTTCAGAGCCCATCACGATCCATTAACAGATCAGAATGGTTATGTCGATGACTCTTCCGTGATAAATGCTCTCCCACTCAAAGGTACAAGCACAGATTTGTAGGACAATATAACCCGGAAAATCATACTCGGGTACAATGCTGTTCAAAGTTTTTTTGTGATACAATGTTTTTCAAAGTGGTACAAAGCATACTGTCTGTTTGAGATCATATGTAATATTCATTAAGATGCCTTCCACCGAGAGAAGGATCTTGATACAGGCTTCTCACAAAGGTGCTGTGATCTTGTGAGAAAGCAAAGACGTGCTATTCTGGAACAATTAATATGAAGTCTTTCTAATAACTAACTAAGCCTCTGAGATTAGTTTCAACATTTCTTGTTTAACTGCAGCATCTTCCTGAGAGATTACCCTGCCATGTCAGAGACCGTAACATTGGAGGACTCTCAGAAAGGAGAGTCCTTCTCAGGTGAATGGGGAAATGGAGGAAGCTAAAAGCTATGTGAGCTGAGCAGAAAAGTCAAGACCTGAGAGAGAGATTCACAGAGAATCAATGTACGCTGCAGAGCAGTTTTAGGATGTCAGTGAATAACAAAATACAAGAAAGCTAGAGTTAAAAGCGGTGGAGAAGACTACAGTCAACGAAGAAGCGTATTAAAGTAAAGTTCAGATAGCCATGTGGAATAGATCTGTTCAAATTACAGCCAGCACCAGCGTCCTCCCTAGATGGCAGCATCAGAGTGTCCGCCAAGCTGAGAGCGCTGCTTCCAAGTCCTTGTGAAAGCTCCAGAAAAAGATAAGATAAAGAATTTAAAATGAGTTCTTTTACTTCATGGTTTGCCAAACAAGGTTTCCAAGCTCGGAACACAAGTAGAAGTTATGTATCAATGTCTTTGTCTTCACAACTTCCTTTTCCTTCTTTCTCTTGTTTATTGTTACAGGATCTTTTGTTTTGTTTTGTTTTGTTATTCTCTTCTGTTGGTGACCTGAAACTTCAAATTCTTAATTGACCTTTGAGTGTAAGATCTCAAGACAGCAAGTGCTTTTTGAAAAGAGCCAAACCACCATGAAATAGGGGAGCAATGATCTATTCTTTTCCCTTCTGACCAGATGAGTACAAAGCATTTTTCTTTCCGACCAGGAGATATCTGAAAAGTTCAATTCACATGCACACACTTCAATGCAATTTATTGCATACTACTAGAACGTAGTGTACAAATTGGGATTGTCTTACATAATCACCCCTTTTCCAAAAAATTTACCGTGGAGGTGAAGGAAGAGAAAATGGCAATGACAAGGAAAGAAAGGTTGAGATTTAATACATAATAACAATATGCTCTTTTGCTAAGACCTCACAAATTCAGCAGAGCATAATTTCTACTGGGCATTGGATACTATCCAGGAAAAGCTTTCTATTTGAAAGCATCAAGTAATCTAAAATGTTAGAGACACTTAGCATGTATACTACCACTATTTTCACCTTATCAGAAATCAAGAATCATCCAAGATTACCTAAGAAGGCAGTGGCAAAACAGCGCAATAGTGAAAACATCTCAATCTAGAAAAAGAATAAAATCTTTTCAGACTTTACCAGCTGCATGGTCTTGTATCTAGTGTCTCAATATTGCTGAGTTGGAAAACCTAGGGTCTAAATAGATCGGTTTCATAAATTTTCTGTGTGACAATTGTTCTGCTACTTCCTACAGTTTTACCTTTGTTCAGAGCTAGTTGTTTCTGTCAAAGGCTGGGCCAGTCCTTCTGTGTTATATAAAGTACATTTCTCAATTAACAAATGCTTGTACTTGTTCCCTATTCTGAGAACTTATTATACTATCTTCAACTATATTTATGTTAAGAAGAACTTTTTGTATCAATCTGTCCCTTCACCTGATCAGTGATATTTGGTGATGTACCAGTCATAAAGGTATGTAAGCAATAAGAAGTCACAGGCAGATAGATGTCTCTTCAACTATTTCCAAGATTTTAATTTCTCTGCCTACTCCGCTTTTTGCCTTCTGTCACTGTGCTAAATATTCCCATAAATTACTTAATTATTTTCCCCAGGGCTGAAATAAAGCTTCAGGGTTTACGGTTCCTAAAGGCACTGTGGCGTATTTTCTCATATATGGAAACCACAAAATAGCGCAATATAACAGCTTTTCACATCAGCATTTTGCAAGCAATTCCTCCTTCTTCATTTCCTCCAAAACTCTTGCATGAACAGTATTGTATCCTAGTGACTGGTCTTGAGCCTTAAAGGGAATTTAGTTGTATGATTCTGAGCAGATAATCTGCCCCCCAATTTGTTTGCCAAATGGGTGTCTAATTTACATTCACAATTACCTCAATTGCATGCATAAATGAGCTAATGAAACACGCAAATGTGTAACTGGTCATAAACAGTCATTTCCATGTGCAATTGCAGTAATTGCATGCTCTTCATGATTTTGAAAATCAAGAACTTAATGTTAATTTGATGTTAGTTCATGTTGTATAACAGTTATATTTAAAGATTAAGTTTATCACTCAGCAAATGCAGCAGTCTTTTTCTATTATGTCTTTTTTCCATTATGGTTAATTAGTGGATAACAGTGTTTAACATTGCAGGGACTTCTTTTTGCTGATAAGCAGGGTTCAAACATTTCCCTAAAATAAGCAGGACTGTAAATCTATTTATATACTATATTGTGTCACAATAACCACAGTTTTATACTCCTTTAAACAGTGTGTTTACAAAGAAATATTCATTTGAGGTAAAAGAGATTTTGGGGAAAGAGATAATAAGTCACATAACCATTTTTATCCAAACATTCTGATTCACAATAATCACATTACAGAAATATCTCATTAATTTAACTCTTTGTTTTAGTCATAGGTTATGACAAAATCTAACTCTCATTTTCCGTTTCCAAATGCAGGCAAATCCTGTAGTTCTTGTTACTTATTCTGCTGCCATCCCATCTGTTTTTCTCTTAGATTGCAGTTGCAATTGCTTTCTGGATAACATAGAACTAAGACCTCTATGAGAGAGATTAGCAAGTGATGTGACTGAATGACTCTGAAGTATTATATGAAAACTGCTATATAATTACATGAAAAGACTCATGTGTTTTGTACTATTAAATTGTATGGTGTTGAGATCAAGAATGTATATGGCAATAGTAGTTTTAAGTCATCGGACATAGTCCATTTTAAAATTAAAATGCATATTTCAACCATTTTACTGATATGATTAGACTGTAAACAATATAATTCAATTGCATGGGTTATGTTGTAATCTTCTGAAGGTAAGATCTGACTTTGTATTTTTCTTTCAGTGGTTTTAAAAATAGGAATAGGGTTGATCAATGCAGAGCCAGAAATGTTATGTTCATTATTGCAGATAATACACAGAAACATTATTGAATAACAATAGCTGAAAGAGTAATCCAAAGTATATTAAGAGGATAATGTTGACTATGTTTACAGTTAGATGGCAACTTATGGCTGAACACCATCCAAAGCGTTTTACAGATTGGACATTGATCCTGTAACCTATTTCACTCAGGAAATCCCCTGAGACATCTGTGGGACTACTGTAAGGAATATTTACGTCTTGTCATGCAAATGAGATTGTGCCATTCATGTCCCAGGCCTAATCATTTGATCAGTTTTGTAACATAGGTTATATTTATAAACAAAATCCATTAAAACAGAGAGTCAAGTTAATGAGTAGAAGCCAATAAAGGAGGAAAAAACTCAAACTTGCCTTCAATAGCTGCTGGTTTCTTTCTTGGACTATGTTCTAGAAGAAGATGAGGTGGTACCATTTCGTTATGTCCTGCACATGAGTATACAGGTTAAGAAGCATAGAAAATGTACTCACTAACAGGCTGAGCAGATTCACTGGGAGGTTGAGCTCCCTTCAGAATTGCTAATGTTTAAAATATTACACTGTGCATAAAAGCTATTATCTTCCAGACACCATAGGAAGGAAATGTATTTCTCAACAAATAAAGTCATTTATCTTTAAGAGACACATTTTAAATCAATGAAGTCCAAGTGACTCAAGCATATGCTGAAATGCTTAGAGTTCTATTTTTCTTCATTAGACTAAAAAACTCTGAAGAATAATACTGTGATAATAAGGTTACATATTCATGATGCCTCTTCTACAGTAAAAGCTTATTTTCTTCTGTCAAACAAATGATCTTCAGTAGTTCCCTCAAGTCCACTTATTATGAACTTCTTGAAACACCAGTAAAAATTATTACGTTTCTCATCCTTAAGGATTACTCTTAATTAGCCAATACCAACCAGGTCATGCACTGTAAACACTGACAAGGTTCTGATTCCAGCTGCTGACTGAAACACCTCTACTCTCTCAGTGTTGAACTGTACTCTCTCATAGTATTGAACTGGGACTTTCTGTACTGTCTTAGCCTACGTGCAGACACCATGCTTTATCCAAGATATCTTTCGCTTCATTTCCCCAAAGATTCACAAACAGATCTATTGCACTCTTATATTACTTATGCTTCTTTTCTGGTTTATAACACCTCTTTTGCAGTGTCCTTATTTCCTTTTAATTTCTTTCTCTGACATTTATGCTCAGTAGCTATCATGTCATTGTCATTTGGAAAGCACAATTTGTTGTAACCTGTGAAATAAAATTAAGTAGTTAAATATAATATCGATCCAGTCATTTGGGGAAAGAGATAATAAGTCACATAACCATTTTTATCCAAACATTCTGATTCACAATAATCACATTACAGAAATATCTCATTAATTTAACTCTTTGTTTTAGTCATAGGTTATGACAAAATCTAACTCTCATTTTCCGTTTCCAAATGCAGGCAAATCCTGTAGTTCTTGTTACTTATTCTGCTGCCATCCCATCTGTTTTTCTCTTAGATTGCAGTTGCAATTGCTTTCTGGATAACATAGAACTAAGACCTCTATGAGAGAGATTAGCAAGTGATGTGACTGAATGACTCTGAAGTATTATATGAAAACTGCTATATAATTACATGAAAAGACTCATGTGTTTTGTACTATTAAATTGTATGGTGTTGAGATCAAGAATGTATATGGCAATAGTAGTTTTAAGTCATCGGACATAGTCCATTTTAAAATTAAAATGCATATTTCAACCATTTTACTGATATGATTAGACTGTAAACAATATAATTCAATTGCATGGGTTATGTTGTAATCTTCTGAAGGTAAGATCTGACTTTGTATTTTTCTTTCAGTGGTTTTAAAAATAGGAATAGGGTTGATCAATGCAGAGCCAGAAATGTTATGTTCATTATTGCAGATAATACACAGAAACATTATTGAATAACAATAGCTGAAAGAGTAATCCAAAGTATATTAAGAGGATAATGTTGACTATGTTTACAGTTAGATGGCAACTTATGGCTGAACACCATCCAAAGCGTTTTACAGATTGGACATTGATCCTGTAACCTATTTCACTCAGGAAATCCCCTGAGACATCTGTGGGACTACTGTAAGGAATATTTACGTCTTGTCATGCAAATGAGATTGTGCCATTCATGTCCCAGGCCTAATCATTTGATCAGTTTTGTAACATAGGTTATATTTATAAACAAAATCCATTAAAACAGAGAGTCAAGTTAATGAGTAGAAGCCAATAAAGGAGGAAAAAACTCAAACTTGCCTTCAATAGCTGCTGGTTTCTTTCTTGGACTATGTTCTAGAAGAAGATGAGGTGGTACCATTTCGTTATGTCCTGCACATGAGTATACAGGTTAAGAAGCATAGAAAATGTACTCACTAACAAGCTGAGCAGATTCACTGGGAGGTTGAGCTCCCTTCAGAATTGCTAATGTTTAAAATATTACACTGTGCATAAAAGCTATTATCTTCCAGACACCATAGGAAGGAAATGTATTTCTCAACAAATAAAGTCATTTATCTTTAAGAGACACATTTTAAATCAATGAAGTCCAAGTGACTCAAGCATATGCTGAAATGCTTAGAGTTCTATTTTTCTTCATTAGACTAAAAAACTCTGAAGAATAATACTGTGATAATAAGGTTACATATTCATGATGCCTCTTCTACAGTAAAAGCTTATTTTCTTCTGTCAAACAAATGATCTTCAGTAGTTCCCTCAAGTCCACTTATTATGAACTTCTTGAAACACCAGTAAAAATTATTACGTTTCTCATCCTTAAGGATTACTCTTAATTAGCCAATACCAACCAGGTCATGCACTGTAAACACCGACAAGGTTCTGATTCCAGCTGCTGACTGAAACACCTCTACTCTCTCAGTGTTGAACTGTACTCTCTCATAGTATTGAACTGGGACTTTCTGTACTGTCTTAGCCTACGTGCAGACACCATGCTTTATCCAAAATATCTTTCGCTTCATTTCCCCAAAGATTCACAAACAGATCTATTGCACTCTTATATTACTTATGCTTCTTTTCTGGTTTATAACACCTCTTTTGCAGTGTCCTTATTTCCTTTTAATTTCTTTCTCTGACATTTATGCTCAGTAGCTATCATGTCATTGTCATTTGGAAAGCACAATTTGTTGTAACCTGTGAAATAAAATTAAGTAGTTAAATATAATATCAATCCAGTCATATGCATCAGCATACATTCACTGCACCAGAGTCCACATGCAATCAGGCTGTTAAATCTCAGCTCCAGCTCCACATCAGAAACTTAAAGCCATGCCTCATGCTTGGTGATAGACTCAGAAGAGAAATTAAGACCTTAATGAGCCTTGGAAACTGCAGTATCATACTTACCCCTCTCATTTTAGAAAGTTATGTATACTCATGGGGAATGCATAAGAAAAACATCGTCTTGAAGACAGCAGTGGGATTTGAGCACCGTGGTCTTAATGTTATTGCATCTCATCAGCATATGTACGATTGCAGGCAAATAATTTGCAAGCATGTAGTTTAGTTCATCCGGTAATTTGCATAAAATATCACACACAGAGCCACTCAAACTTGACTCACATGCCTGAGCCACTGACAAAATGTCGACACATTGACAAAATCAATGCATTGAAGGTGCTGTGCAATAAATGGTAAAAATCTTAGGTTTTACACGTATTTCCTGTCTTGGCAATAATCACAAGTGGATATTTACCAATCTCATCACAGAATGACTCTAGCCTTAAAATGAACAGTAGGCAAACATCAGGAATCCAGATGTCTAGCCATGATTTTCCAAACACTTTATGTCGTTAAAAAAATCATCTTGAAATTGCTAATGAGATGCTGAATACCATTTGTTGCCAACCAGAATAGAAAAGTTATATCCATAACCTCTGTCAACATACAGAAAATTCATTAATTGAATTCCTAGTTCAGAATGAAAACAAAAATGATATAAAAATTAATGAAGAATGGGTAAATAATCTTACTCTTTCTGCTAGTTTTGATTAAAGTCCTAGACTAAAGTTTAGTTCTTTTTTTTCTTTTCTTTGTTTTGTCTAAACTAGATCACCTATCCCTAGATGGAAAAAGTGATAAATTTTATAGCTTGGACTAATTGTTTTGTGTGAAAGATGATAAAGGGCAGTGGCTCAGAATGTTGAGTAGATCAGTAATGAAGAAGGATAGTCAATAATTTGGACTGCAGTGTGGTATCTCCTGTGTGAGGCAATGATCTAACACCTCTAGGTCAAAGTACAGGCTGGCCCCATTATCTTCCTGTTCTTTGCTGTAGCAGCAGTTTTCTAATGATTGCACCAGCGTTAGTTAGTATAATACCAGTGCGATACCACTTATTGCTAATGACTTGTCAAGTTGTATTTTATAGTTTTACAAGTTTTAAACAAATCATTTATTTCATGCAAATTGACCACATGATCCAATATGAGAGTGTTTTAAGCACCAAAAGCTTAAGCTTCACAGATCAAAAACTTTCCCTTAGGCCAAAATGTTTGTTCTGAGCAGGTTCCCATCCACTCTCATAAAAAGCTTTTTTAATGTTTCAATATGTTATTAAATGTCTCTCTATTCACTTTGAAGGGAATGCAAAGGACAGTAGCTGAATAAATATTTTATCCATTCTTTTGATGAAATATGTTAAAGGGGATATCCTAAGTCAAATTTCTTTTCTCTTCCTTTTTCTCTCCTCTTTAAGTTATAAAGCACAAGTGGTTTTCTGCACTCATAATTAGAAATGAGGAACTGGCCTCAGCAGATCAGACAATTAGGATTAATGGTGTCTACTACTTTGACTCCAGCAGTGGACAGTTGGACACATATCCATGATGTAAATGAGAGGCAGGCAGGATGTTTTTAATGATCCCAGTGGGCAATCAGATTAATCCATGAATCATGAGAAGTCATTATCCAGATTACTACTATTATTATTGGACATACAGTTATCTCGCTGCTTTAAAAATGCAACCACAGAAGAGCACTGAAATTTAGTGTCTGCATATTTATTTGCTTCTCATTTCAAATGTAGACTTTATTTTTCTACTATGAGATAAGCCAAAAAGGTTCATTTGACTTTATTTTTTTTTTTTTTAAATTAGGGTTTGATTGCTCCAAAAGACGTAATTGCAAACACAAAAATGTGCATACATTTCTTCGCCTAATCTGTCCATGCAGTTGTGCTACAGATACATCCTTCATAAATGAGACTGTAAACAGCTATCTAACAACAAATTACAGTCAATGGAAACCGAAATAATGAAATGTTTTGACTTTAAGCTCATGGGAATGTGCTCACCAGGAGAAAAAGTGTCATGTTAAGACATGAGTAGCTTCCTCCACTGCCTGAAAGGAAAGAAATATGCTGCAAAGATGAGTAGAAGGTTTAAGACACTAGATGGTAACATGAATACTTCATTGAAAATAAGCTACAGTCCTCAAGCTCTGTGAAACTTCTGTCATCGGTGTTTGTTAAATCACTTGAGATGTCATGAAGAAATTCATTCTGACTTGGTTTATGAATATTTTAGATTTTATGTTACATGATAAGGAATACAAGACAAACTTTAATTACCTTACTTTTCTCAATCTAGGAAGCGTCTTTCTACATGTGTCAAAAATGTCATGTCTGAGCATTGAGGATAAATTGATTTCTTATGATAACAGCAAATCATGTGGGTTTTCTTTCTTCCCTGATCTGCCCACTTCAATTTGTCTGCAGTGACCCTAATTGACATAGATAAAGTCTCTAAATTTATCTTTCTAAATCAAAAGATCATTGGATAAAAGAAAATGCTTCTAAAATTATTCTAAAATTATTATTCTTATTATTATTGCTATTAAACAACTAAAGGCATTGTAGATGGATGAATATTCCAATTGGATGTGGGGAGAAATAATGCCACTACAGAAAGCAGTATGTGGAAACACCATTCCTATGACTGTGCAGTTCCTCATGTCCATATGCTGGTTATGTGAACAGCGGGAATCCTACAATCCAACAGCACCAACACTTTGTTACAGTGTCTCTCAAATAGAGCAGAAGAAATGTCTTCAGATAAATCTCATTCTGCTCAGATGTGACATCTTTCCCTAATGATAGTAGAAATAATTGAAATAAAGTAAGTGTGCTTTTTGCAGAGTCATTTGTTATGAAAAGTAAATTCAAATCAAATGTTTCATGAAGCTTGGAACAAGACATGGATCAGCAGAATGAGGTAAGACTGCCAAATATGCTTTTAGAGGATTGAAATCTTAATGGAGCCCCACCATTCTGTCCAGGCTTCCAGTTTTGATGTGTAAGTTGCCTGAAGTTAAAGATAAGCCTCTCCCTTGTTATCAGTCATTACACTTCAGATATTAGACTGTCACTATTCTGAGGAAGGGTTTCTGCACTTAGTACGTGTGCATGAAAAACTGTGAGCAAACTGTTTTTCATTAAGAAAGAATAGCTGAGGATCAAGAGGTCAGATTGTGTAACTGTTTTGAACAATGTAAATGCTCATTTTGGGGAAGGACTGAATTGCAATACAGGTGCTCCAAATAGGCAGTCTTTCTAAGAAACACATCATAACACGATGGTTTTATGTACACTAGTAAATTAAATGGTGCCTGGGAATGTTACCGGGCTCTGGAATTCAGACATACGTATCCTGCAACATGTTTTTGAATAACCTCCAACAGTTTTGACCTGTACCAATGTCTCAAACAATTCATTGGCTCAGTTCAGGAGTTAACAAGGGCCAGGGACCACTCCCAATAGACAGCCGGGATGCAGCTGCCCATTTTGACCTTGGGGAAGTGTAATGGATGTGGATCACTCTATGACAGAAGAAATCACATTCAGAGAACAGCTGAGTTGAGTTTGATTTACTAATCTAGATGTAGCCCACAAGTCTTAAAAGTGATGACAAAATTATGTCAAATGGAAAAAATAGTTTAAACAGGGTCTTAATGACCTACTTGGAACTCAATTTTTGACAGTGGCAAATGGAATTAATGGATAATAAAATGAGGCTTTTAAAGAGGTCTATTTTAGTAGCCAACATATATTTCAGTTTTATAATTACACTCAGGATCTGGCTCTTTATTAAATGGATAATTGCCCAACATACAGTGAAACTCTTATTTTGCATGAAGTTGATATTACCTAAGGAAAAACACTGCTACAGTATATGCAGCGATTACCAGTAGCAATACAATACTTTAAATTTTCACATTCTGTTACACTGGCTATCAGCCAGTTACTATTGTGATGCATAAGAAAAGAAAAGGAGAGATTACATGGATAATGCCCAATCTATCTATATGTTCCACTT